AAGTCTCTAGCACATCTCCTTCTAGTGGAACAGACAGACAGACACACAGACAGACACACAGACAGACACACAGACAGACACGAGGTCGTTTGCATAAGCCCGCTGGATACCTTTTTCAAAGCAGAAGGGCGGGCTAAAAAGGGTAGAACGTAGTGATGGGCACTTACATTTGCACGCAAGTTGCACACTTTATTAGCACAGATTTCTCTGATAAAAGAGGGCTATAGGTAGACTGATGAGAGTTGCGTACTACATGCTTACTACATAACAGACAATTACTTCCCGCCCTTCCATAGGGAAAAGAAAGAAGGAACAGTTTTCTTGCAACTCAACGGCACTTTCATGTGTTGCAGTTTCATCGGGACAGGCCGGTATCACGAGAGTCGGCACCAACAGTGTCCAATTTGCGTGTCCTGATGGCCGCTTCCAGTTCATCATCGTCACCATCAGCACCAAATTCAGTGCCGTCGACGGACAACACACAAACTCGGCTCAGTTCAGCGTTGAGGTCAACGGTCAGCGAATTGAAACTATCACCAACTCTCTAAACGTCTTCAAGGGCGGAAGCAAAGGACACTACTGGGGTTATGAGACCTATGCAGTATCGCAGAAGATGATCACTTATGGGGTGTTGCCGGGTAACAGTGTAAGAGTCAATTTCCTTGGCGGGCAACAGCATATTAGCAGTGACATTCGTGTCGACCTATCTAACTAGATCACCGTGCACGACCCAAATTTACCCCTGACACGAGTGCTTTTATACACACTTTCGGCATCAGCCTACTTTGTTCCCATGACCATAGACAAGATATTATAACAATAACTTTTCTAATGCCCCAATTTTCCATCATGTTTTTATATAACTTTTTAAAGAAAAATTTTTTTTAAAAAAAGAAAAAAAAACCTTTCTGCAATGGAGATTTTTTTTTTGGCTGTGATTTCCAGGGACCGTATTTTTTTAATCTTGAAGGGACGAAGGAAAAGAAGAGGAGAGACAGAAAAGGTAAAAGCACATAGGCGAGGAAGGAAAGGCAAGAGAGAAAGAAAGGAGTACTGGTCGTTCACAGGGGTGGGATATCACACTGCTTTGGTTGGCGGCAAACCCCGTCGCAACGGCGACGAAGTCTTCAGTCCATAGATAACTTGACTAGAATCTAGATCGATATCTCATAATGCCTGCATGCAGCCAGCAAAGCCAGCCAATGGTCAAGTTCGCACCCTAACAAAAACAACGTTCTTCACTTATTGCACAGAAGGAGGGTTATTCGTTCGAAACTCCGGATGTAAGGTTCCCCGTAGTCGATGCCGTGTCGATGTATCGAACCCGAACATAAGGCTTCCGTCGAGGCGTGAACACAAGACACATTGATTTGTGTGATGCGCCCCATAAAAGGGGGAGGCAAGGGGGGGGGGAGGAGCACCCACAGGGTCTGGGTCACCTCAGCCTGTCGGTGCGACGGAGACAGACGACAAGAGATGTGTCATCGGCGCGTCGACAAAGTGGTCGCCCCCTCAAACGCACTAGACATGGGTGCGGGGAGCTAGTGAAGGGTGCTGCGCTCCCCCCGCGCGTCGTGGAAGACGGGGCAAGAGAAGAAAAATTTGACGAAGGGGAGAAGGAGATCAAAATATTTTCTGGCGGGAAGCACGCCGCGGGGTCGTCGGGTAACGAGGGGGAATTTTCCCGATCATTAGGGCAGGGCGGTCGTTTGTAACGGCGGAAGAGAAATCAATAGCGACTCGGTAGAAAAGGGCAAATAATAATAAAAAAAATTAACCAGCAGTAAATCAGGACGCGCAAGTTGGCTAAAGACGCCCCTTGGTCCCAACCTGTTGGTTTCATCAACTTACATCTTGTTGGACCAAAGTCTAGCATTTACTTACATAAAAAGGAAGAAAGAAAAGTTCAAAGTCATTGCCTGCTCGAATTGTACTGAGTAAGAAAAACAATTCGGAGCTACACTCTAAATGCAAAGGGACAATTTTTGTTCCTAAAAAGGCAACATTTTCGTCCGTGTACATCCAGAAAGAATGCAATGTTGTTCCTAAAACGAGACAAATTGTATGGAGCTTTGCACACGACGCGCCCGGTTGGTCACGCGTCACGTTACATGCCGGGCCGTGACACGCTGCGCCGTTGCGGTCACAATTTCGTGTTTCCGACAGACGGAGGCTCTACTTGGAGAGCAGACGGCGCTGGGCAGAGCAGACTTCCGCTTGTCATAACCGATCCCACTG